TTTAACAAGCACAGAATATTTAGGTTCCTTAAGTCGGCAGCTAATGTTACTATTTTAACTATAAAACTTTAATAGCTAATAATGACAAGCATTGCGTTTAGTCATTAGCCTCAATTTCAATTCTTTTTAAATTCTGCCTATTTAATCCTTCTTACTTTATTCTGTATTCAGCGCTATTGATAATCGAGGACTTAAAGCATCTGGAAGTGTTTGAACTTGAAACGTTATTAACGCATACTGAGAATATAAAGCGCAAATTCTGCAATTAGTTGTTCGTGCGTGAACAGGTTATTAATCATTGCAGAAACACACAAGCTCGGATATGTGCAAAGACATCCCAAGGTAATATACTTGCCCAGTAAAGCCCTTGGCCAGACACTTTAAAAAGGACTTTTAAATTGATCACATCTTTTTTTTGCAATGTCTGAGTGCTTTTCCTTCTCCCTTGACAATCCATTCTCTTTTGCCCTTTTGAAGTAAAACCGTTCGATCACTAAACCCTGACCACTATTCACGATTGTGATGAATCATGAACTTTGAAGTTTAATATTAAAATTAATGAGTTCATTTTAGGTTAGCATTATTATTTCAAATAGCAGGTTTTATGATATTTATCATTAGTCCTTTAGTTGACATCAGCCTTCACAAGGAGGGATGATAGTTAACAGAAGTACATCAGTTGACTTCTAGATTCCCAGTATACCTGGGTTTCTGTCATTGTCTTTAGAGCTGGACACTGAATCAGGTGAGACTTCTCCATTTCCTCCTGTAGGTCACATTGGGTGCATTTTGGTTGAGCGCATACTCCTATTCTGTGAAGGCTCTTCGTCAGGCAATCATGTCCGGTACGCAGTCTAAACTCTGCAACAGCTTCGATTCTTAGCCAGTCGACTTTTAGGGAAAGTGCCACTGTTCACTGCTTCTCCTTCGTTCGAGTTTTACGTTCGTTGCCTCTTGAAGTCTTGAATTCTCTCCTGATTAAGGTCTTCATTGTATGGAAAGACATCACCAGTCTATACCTTGCAAAATTTTGGTCCCCACATACCCAGTGTGTCAGCGCGCCCATTGCCTACAATGCCACACAGTGTTTAGGGATCCATTGAAGAACAGCTGTTTTATTTTTTCTTCCATTAACTGATACAGTTTTTTACATTTGTGTATAATACATAACACAAGCGGCTTAAGACTCCTCTGGTAAGTCGACATCATTGTCAACATTATTTACGATTCCAATCGGACTTAAAAATTTAGATCGCAATTTCTAAAAAAATTTCCCATTATTTAACCTGTCGTGAACACTCGTATCATTTAAGATTTCAACTTAAGTGAACCATCTATTGCTATATTTAATCTCTTTGGTTTCAATCTCCAAAATAATCAAATCTATGTTTAAATTAATTATTATGAAATAAGGAGGCCGTTCCCATTCAAGTTGAATATAAGACATCCGAAAGATATTTAATATTAATTTTCACCGTGTGGTAATTGGCTCTCTCCCGGGCCTATCAAAGTTTTAGCAGACTTACAATGATTGTGGTTAAATTAAACTTATTCCATTAAATTTGTCTTAACGTTCGGGACTAGTTTAAGGTGGTCGAAGGTAGGCAAGTTGCTTGGGAAAGTGAGATCCTTTCCTCCCCTTAATTGCCCATTTTAAGGAGGAATTTTGCTACCCTATCTGTTTTAATAGTCCCCCCCCCCCTCCCTCAATCCCCAACCCCCAAATGAACTTTAACGCGTGCTAAAAGGTTATTTTCGTGGAAATCTTCCATTCACCGTTAATTATAGCAAGCTTTAGCTATCGACTCTGCCTTGGGCAAAAATTTAGTTGTTTGCGAGAGTGAACAGGATACACCAGGGAGATGATAAAAAACTATCTGACAGGCGAAATTATGTTGATTAGACACTAATGGCATTTGATTTCAACATTTTCTTTCATAGGTAGCAAAGTTCATTAAAATAGGCCCATAATAAAACTATCAGTTCAGAATATGCGGTCATAAAAAGAGGCATATTTAAAGTAGAAATCTCTATTCATAATGATCTCAAAAAAATTCCAAAATAGAAAAATCATAAATTACTTTAGTCGAGAGTGTTTATTTAACGCTCTATGCATATTTTCAATCTTGTGAGAATGAGAGCGATGAAATTTGGAAATTTTATTAAAATGCCCTAAATAGGTGAAGTATTGAAGAGTTTTGATTAAAATTTTAATAATCAGGAATAAACATTAGCAGGTGTTGTTGCCTATCCA